CTTTGTCCCAGACAGGGTGGGGGAGGACATCCCCTGCTTCCCTTCCCGGCTCTGAGGCCTCCTGGGGGGCCAGGGCTGCACGTTGGCATGGGCTGGGCACAGCTCAGGGACAGGGCACATCGTGACCCAAACCACCCCTGGAGCAGGGACATCCTGAGGGAGGGACCACCCCATCACCCTGAAGGGCCCCAGCGCCTCCTGCTCTCCCTGGGCCGCTCCAGTGCCACATCCCCACGGACAGCTGTCCCTGGCCAGGCACCCCAGTGATGACATCGGCCTTTGCTGGGTGTCCCCAGAGCCCTCATCCCCGTCCCCATCCTCACCTAGGGCTGTTGGCTGCCCCAGCTGGAGCAGGGCTGGGAGGAAGACAAGGTGCCCCCATCCCCGTGTCCCTCCTGCCCCTCACGGCCCACAGAGGAGCAACACAATGTCCCCAGTCACGGTGACAAAGGCACCTCGTGGCTGGCTGGGACAGGAGACAGTGGCTTCTCACACTGAGGCCTTTCCTAAGATCCTCAAGAAAAAAAGAAACCCAACCTCAGAAAAAGAAAAATAAATTATGGGAAAAGATCGCAGGTTTATAATTGGGATGTGCAAATATCAATTTAAGCAGATCTTAAATCAATATGAACCAGAACGTTTCCTTTCACCCCTAATCGTTCTCTTTCTTCTTTTTTCTTTTTTTTTTTCTTCTTTTTTTTCAAGCAGGTGAGTTTTAATAAGCTAAAATAAACCAGCTCCAATTTCAGCAGAGTCCCAGTGTGAGGAATATCAATTAACAAGAGACATCCTTGGTCGTTTGAGTTCACCACAACAGCGCAGGAGCTGCAGCTCGATGGGAATGGGAAGAAAATTACAACCTTTTCAGGGAAACCATTAAGTAAAAATCAGAATTTGTCCATAAGTACCGCTGGGGGAGGGGAGCAGCTCAGCTAATGTGTTCTATTTTGAGCAGTGAAGTGAATTTTCAGTGCAAAATCGCTGCTTTCCGTGGCTCTCCCCACGGCCTCCTGTCCCCGGAGTTAGGACCTGGAAAGCTTCTGGGATAGAGGGTCTGGCTCAGCCCCACCCCTGGGATCACCCCCCTTTTCACACTTCTCCAGCTCAGTGAAGCACAGAGTGAGGATCATCCTGGAATCACAGAAGCCTGGAATGGTTTGGGTTGGAAGGGAATTTAGGGATCATCCCATCCCACCCCCTGCTATGGGCAGGGACACCTTCCACTGGCCCAGAGTGCTCCAAGCCCCGTCCAACCTGGCCTGGGACACTTCCAGGGATCCAGGGACAGCCACAGCTTCTCTGCCCAACCTGTGCCAGGGCCTGCCCACCCTCAGCCAACAATTCCTTCCCAATATTCCATCTAACTCTCTGGCAGTGGGAAGCCATTCCCTGTGTCCTGTCCCTCCATCCCTTGTCCCCAGTCCCTCTCCAGCTCTCCTGGAGCCCCTTTAGGCCCTGCAAGGGGCTCTCAGATCTCCCTGGATCCTTCTCTTCTCCAGGTGAACCCCCCCAGCTGTCCCAGCCTGGCTCCAGAGCAGAGGATCCAGCCCTGGGAGCAGCTTGGTGGTGTCTGGGTGGGATGGAGAGGAAGGGCAGTGCCTGTCCTGTCCCCAAGGCCCTCACAGGCCAGAGGTTTCCAGGTGCTGCTCCCTGTGCTCTGCAATCTGCCGGGACTGATGTGAGTGTGTGACACCAGGAGCACTGGGCACGTTCCTCCACTCAATAGCTGTCACCTTGGAAGCACTTGGCAGAGGGAAGTGCCAGGGAGAGCACTTTGCAGGAGAAATAAGGACCGGTTTCACCACTAATATTTCCAGGGTTGCTCGTTGCCATTAATTTTCGCTGTTCTCCAGCACATGAAGCCTCAGGAGCCCCCCCTGCTCTGTGTGGTTTGGTGAACTGTGTATTCACGTTCTCCCAGAGACTGGGCCAGGCCCTGCCGGCCTGGCTGCACCCTGGGGGGGCTTTGCACCCGATGGGTGCCCCGATGGGAACCCCAATGAACACCCGGCTGATGGACGCTCCAGTGTGCACCCCGATGTGATGGGAACCCCAGTGGGCACCCTGGGGACATCCCAGTGGATATCCCACTGCATCCTGCTTTGCACCCCAGTGGGCACCGCAGGTGCACCCACGTGCCCGGTGCAGTGCAGGGGTTTGCCGAGAGCTGCTGCCTCGGCAGAGGGAAAGCAAAGAAAAGGCCCAAAGGGGCAAACTGAGGACATCGGGGAGAAGGGGGGATGGCGGAGGAGGCGGGCAGGGCGCGGTGGCTCCGGGCCCGCGGTGGCTCCGGTTCCTCTCAGGGTTCCACTCCGGGTTTCCCGGCGCTCCCACGGGCCCCACGTGGGGCAGGGGCGGGGCCGGGCGGCGGTAGCCAATGGGCAGCGCCGGGCCCTGACAGCGCTTGTCACGTCAACAGCCGGAACGCGCCCAATTAGCGGCGGCGGGGGGGGCCGGGACACCCCAATCCCGCACCCCGGGGGTCAGCGGGGCGCTCCGCACCCCCTGCACCGGGAACCGGGGGGCGCGGCGGGACCGCGGGGGGTTCCTCTCCCCGGTTTGATTGTTTAAACGGCGGCGTGTGATTAGTGCTGCGGAGGAGCCCCATCCGGCGCGGCGGTGCCGGGGCCGCTCGGCGCGGCCCGCCCGGCTCGGCGGTGACAGATTGTTTGAGCGGGGGGAAGCGCCGGCCCGGGCTAATTACACCGCCATGGCGGGCGGGGGCTGCGCGCCGCGGCCCCGCGTGGCTTTGATTGACAGCGCCGCTCCCCGCGGCCAATGGCGCCCGAGCGGCTGCCCGCTCCGCGCTGTGATTGGCAGAGGGGCGAGGCCCGCCGCCAGGCCCCACGTGGGGCGGAGGCTCCGTCTGACGCGCGGGCGAGCGGCCATTTTGTGCGCCGGGCCCGCCCGTGGGGCCGCGGCCGCCCCGGCCCCGCCGCCCCCGCCCGCCCGCCGGGCCGGGCTGCTCCCTCCGCCGGCCGGGGTACCCTTCGGGCGGGCGTCCCCGCGGGTGTCCCCGGGGCGCGGCGGGAGGCGCTGACGTGAACGCCATTGCCCGTGTTCCTCGTTTTGGCCCCTCGGGCGCGCGCGGGGGCGCGGAGCGGGGCCCTCACAGCACATCAAAGCGGCCGCGCGGCCGCCGGGGGAACCAGGGCGGCCATGTCGGCGCGGGGGGCTCGTCCCGGGCGCTCTGCGGGCCGTGAGGGGAGAGCAGGGGGTGACACAGCGGCTCTGAGTGTTGTGCGGGGGCCCGGCCACGTTCAGCGTTCAACATTCACCCCGGGCCCGGCCGTTCTCACCGAGGCCGCTCCATCGCGGGCTCGGCCCGGCCCGGCCCGGCCGGGGGAACCGGAGGGAGGGGGCGTGGCCTCGAGGGGGCGTGGCGAGATAGGCGTGGCCTGCGGGCAGCCCTCTCGCGGACACAAACTGGCATTGTGACGTCGGGCGCGGCGGTGCCCAATCGGCGCCCGCTCGCCGTGCCCCCACGTGGGCGCGGCGCGCCGCCATTGGCCGCGGCCGGAGCGGCCGGCCGGGTTTTGTCGCCCGCCCGCCCGCCCCGCTCCGCCCGGGCGCTGTGGCCGCACCGCGTGCTCGGCGCTGCCGCCCCGCTCCGGCCCCGCTCCGCGCCCCCCGCGCCCGCCATGGCCCCCGCGCCCGCCGCCGGCCCCGCGGGACGCCGCTGAACGGCCGCCCCCGGCCGGGGGGGATCCGCTCGCACTTCGCATGTCCGCGGCGCCCGGGAAGTCGGATGTGTACGGCCTTCCTCCCCCTCCTCCTCTCCTCCATGGCCGTCGTGCTCCGGCGTTAGTTCCTGGCTTTGCTTCCCCTTCTCCCGGCCGCAGGAATACCGCGGGACCCTCCTCCCGCCGCCGCGTTGTTGTTGTCGCTGTGGCTTTTTCGTCTATGTTTTTTTTTCTTATTTTTGGGGGGGGGTGATTTTGCTTTTTTTTTTTTTTTTTTTTTTT